CGTGTGCTGGGGACAAGGGATGACAACCGGGTCGTGAGTGATGCCCTGGCAATGAGCGTGCAGAGTACTGCATGTATTGCAAGTGTGGATTATCGCCTAATTACAAAATCCAATGAGGTGGAGGTGCTTAAGGCTCAGTTGGCGGCAGAGCAGATTGTGGTTGAGGAATGTCAGAGTATGATAAAAAGCTTGAAAAGGGAGAGTTCAAGGACGGTGGAGATGAATCGACATCAGCTTGAAGTTTTGCGGTAAGAGAATAAAAACCTATCAAAGATGGTAGATTTTTACTCTCAAGACATGTGAAAGTAGCTGGAGGCCCTAGACCAACCGGGTAAACGCAAACAACTAAATCGCGAGAGAAGTTGTGCTCAAGCTAAGAGTGCGATCTTTGGGAGCTCAAGTGATGAGCCCCAAGAGGCTATGCGTGAAAACCAAGAAGAGGACAACCAGAGGGCCAAACTAAAAGCTCCTATGGTCGAGACACCAAGCACCGTTAAGAAATGAAATTTGTTGTAATATTAGCGTGTGTTTGTTTGTTTGTTTTTTTGTTTTGTTTTGGTTTTTTTTTTGTCTGTTTGTTTTTAAAATTGAGAAATAAAAGAAGAAAAAATTTGCAAGAGAAAAAACAAAAAACAAAAGAAAAGACATCATAGCTTTGGCAGCCCATGCTGGTATCCCTACACTGTCTACGGATGATATTGGCTTTTTCGACACCATCAAAGTCAACAATCAGGTTACTTTACATCGCAGTGATGCTTACTGTACTTCTGGTGGTTTCTCCATCGAGCAACATTCCATTTTGGATTCGCTATTTGCATCCCATCAAATGAAGCATGCGCTTCTTCGCCGCATCTGGGATCGTCTTGACACCTATGGTGAGTTGTTGCTGACACTAGCTGGGCACATTAAGCCACTTGATCCTCCTCATCCTACTTGGGTTTGCAGCCTCTATTGTTCATATGTTCTGCTTCTGGATTTGTTCATCTTTAGTAGTTATCTCTGTGTTCCTTTGGATTCCCTAACTAAAAGGAGGAGAATATTTTGTGTTACATATGGGATTTAGGGGGAGTAACTTGACTGTTGAAAGAAGAAACATGATATTTAGGGGGAGATAACTTTCTGTTTTGTCTATGAGATCAGAACTTGTAGTAAATTGCTTAACCTCCTAACATATGAAGGATTGTTGTTTAATTGTGCCAAGTTCTGTTTCTTATTGTTTAAATTCTATTAAGCTTCACTAGTAGTCTGTTTGTTGGTGTGCAGAAGTTACAAGAACTGGATATTTGTTTGGCAAAGTAAATTCGGATGTGTAGGTTCTTCTTGTAAATGTGTCTACAGTGTAATCTAATGTTTTGTCTAGGAAATGCCAAAGGGGAGATTATTAGTACGAAAATTGTATTGGAATTTCCTACACTCTAGCATAGGTTGGGAATTAGTGTGTGAAGGATTGTTTACTGGGTGTCTTGGCGCAACACATTCAATCTCATACTTTCGAAGCATGACTTGACCAATATGAGAAACTTTATTTCAGGTAAATCATGACATAAGCATACACAATAGGATTCCTAGTTGAAGTTATTTTCAATGCCATTATGATTTAAGTTAAAATATTAGCATTTCCTATAGTGACATGCACCATGCTCATCTCCTAATTAATTTGTTTTATGAGATAATTGTTTCTTCATAAAAGTGGCTGTTTGATGTCATCACTTAGAGTCCATATTGAATCAAAACTAATATTCATAATTGAATAGTATTTTATCTTCTGTTTTGGCGTCTTGACTAAGAGACCATACTGGATCAGGTTTGAAAGTCATAGTGGAATAGAATTAGTGGTCTCTTAGGTTTCTCTATCTAGAGAAAGCCTGCCTTGAATAAAATTGGTGTCTTTTCTTTTCAAACGGCAAGCTTTCAACGTATTGGTTTTTGAGCATATTAAATTTGTAAGAGAAAGCTATTGTGCATATTTTTCAGATAAGTCGTTAAGTGTTCCTTGTTTGCTTTGTGATTTATCAAATCCTTTCATCATTCATATTGCATTCATATGCATGTCGGTGACTCATATGATTGCGGGCACCAAGACTGTTGTGGCATTTATCCTCCAGCGAGCTTGAAGCAATCGCGACCAGTATTGCGTTCAACATAAGGAGTGTCGATACAAATTCATCTCCTCATATAAATACCTAGCTATATTCTTTACTTCCCACACCAAAACCTCTATACAAATTCATCTCCTCATATCTCATGTGAATAGTAATTGCCCCTTGCCCTAGCCCATATGGGTGGAAATAAAATTGCAAGGGCTGCCACTATTCACATGAATAGTGACAGCCCTAGCCTTACCCTTGCCTTGCCCGTGCCCATAGGGGTGGAAGTGCTCTAATTAGAACCCAAGACAGCAATGATAAGCACATAATTATTACAAGTTTCATCCCTAAATTTAGATTTGTTAGTACTAAAGTTTATTTTATTTTGGGCTCTTTAGGCTAAAGTTTGATTTTTATAAGTTTAGGCATTATGCTAATAAAAGTATTGGAAATTAATTAATTACTTCCTCTTTGTAGGTTCTTGGTGGGATTGGCAGCAAGTTAATAAATAAGTGCAGCAATTACTAGTAGATATTGAAAACAAAGGCTGGAGTGACGCTAGACATTTAAATAAGAAATAGAGAAGAGATAATAATGGCTTGATGAAGAAAAAGCTAGACAATTGGTTGTTGGGTGTGGCCACAGATGTATTGTTTACAGTTCAGTGGAGCTTTAATAAAAGAATGAAGAGTTGCATCAGCCAAAGATAGAAAAGGAAGAGTGAAGTGCCACACCAACGCATAAAAGAAAGGAAAAGAAGCAGTGGATGTAGCAGCCAAGGAAAAAAGAATAGCAAAAGAAAATTGGGTATTGCCCAGCCAACCAAAAGCAAATATAAAGAATGAGAGAGTGAGGAATTAAAGGAAAGAAAAAAAAATGGAATCAAGGTGGCAATAAACAATTGTAATGAAGTGGAGGAAAGCTACAACAGGTTCTCTATAAATAGAGAAGTCTTCAAGCTTCAAAGGGGACACCACGGAGCTTCACATCTTTCTCTTGAGCTCTCTTCTCTTTCTCTCTACTTCTCTTTCTCTTAGTTTTATTTCATGGGGAACTAACTCCCTAGCTAAGGCTAGAGAGAAAGCTTTTAATATGAGTGTGTAATTTTTATTAGTTTGATCCAAACTTAAGCTTTAATGTGAATTTGCAGTTTTTGTTCAAATGGAATTTGTAGTTTTCTTTTTAATTAATTAGTGAATGTTTGATAATCTATTTCATGGGTTCAATCATGTTGTTCCCATTGTGTAGTAAAAACTTTTATGCTTTTAAAAGAAAAGAGAATTACTAAAGATTAATAGAATTTCGACGAAGATTTTTTTTTTATAGTTTGTTGCCAATGGTACAAGTTATGTTTAGAATACTTCTAAAGGAAATCAAAAAGAGCTTTAATTATTTTGAACAACTACAATGGAAAATATTTTGTGGATCAAATTAATAAGAGTTGCATGCTTATGTTAAAAGTGGAACCCCAATGCCTTAGCATTTTAATCAATTGAATTTTCTTTAAATCAAATGTTGCATAAATCTACTTCTCAATCATAATTGTTCTTTTTTAGATATGTTATTTTCTTTACACCACACTCTATGAATACGACACTCAGAATTCCAAGCTATACTACTATACGACACCTCCCCTTGGGTTTTGCAAAGTGGTACAAAGAAGCAATGTACAACTCCAATCTAACTTTAGAATAAGATTAATCGCCTCAAAGATTAAAACCCAAGACTTCCCTACTCTGTGCCCGAGTTTATATCCCTTTCTTCGTAGTTTAGATTAGTTTAAAATAGAATACAGCTTGCATATAAATTTTTTTTTTTTTTTTTTTTTAAAACAATGAGCACTCTTAGGGGTCGTTTGGTACGGCGAATTATCATGGACTAGACTAAATCCTGGAACTGTCTTGGATTAGTTCGGATTGGCCCAAGCTGGATTAAGTACTAACCTACGTTTAGTTCTGCATTAAGAAGCTGGATTGTAAAAATAGTGAAGACATATGTTTGGTGCTATGTCGAACTAAAACAATTATTTAAATATTTAAAATTCATTAGGGAAATGCTGCAAAGAAACCAATGAAAAATGTATAATTTATTAAATAAAAAATTTATAATATTTTTTAAAGGCTAAAACTATCTTTATCTCATGTCTTTCTTTCTTTTTTTTTCTTCCTTTTTTCCCCTTTCTCTTTTTCTTCTTCCTTCCCCGGCCCCCTTTCTTTTTCCTTTTTTCTCTCTTCCTCCCGATCTCACTCTCTCGTTCTCTCTTTTTGTCTCCAATATTGATACAATGATATCATTCTCCTTCTCTCTCCTTTTCTATCTCCCCCTCCCAACCTTTCTCTGCCTCCTTATCATTTTCTCCCTCTTATTCCCCTTTGAAGTCACAGATTTTCATCTCCTTTGAAGTCACAAATCTCCATCTGGTTTCATTGAGCCATGGTCAATGGTTGATGATTTTCCAGAAGGTTCAATTAGGTTTGACAATAGTGGTTGAATTTGGGTTCAATTGGGTTTTGGTTCCACTGGATTTGAATTGGTGACGGTTGATTCGAGTGGCTAGGTTTGAATTGGTGGTGGTTGATTCAAGTAGCTGGGTTTGAATTGGTGGTGGAGACTAGGTTTGACGACTGTCTATGGTGATTTTGGTGGTTCAGCTGGGTATATGGGGGGTGATAGTTCTAGGTGAAGAAGAAAAAAAAGTTGGTTATCGTCGGACTCGCATGCTCTGTTTAGTGAGCTCGCTATTTTGTGAACCATGTTTCAAGCTCGTTATATTGAACGAGTGAGGGAGGCAATGTTTTTACTGTTAGACTATTTAGGTAGCGTTTGGGAGTGGTTAAATTTTTAAAAAAGCAGCTTTAAAAAAAAAAATTCAGTACTAAGGTGTTTGGTAAACATCAAGAATCAGCTTTTAAAAAAAATTGCGGTCAGTGACCGCTGTTTTTCCAAAGCAGGGAGAAGGCAGCTTTCAAAAGCTGCTTAAAAAAAATTTTAAGCGGTGGTTTTAATGAAATTTTGGCTTTCCCATAATGCCCTCATTTATTTTTCAAATGGATAGTCCTTGTCCCTCCAATCACACAACTCCCATCTGCACTCCTCGAATCAAACTGCACAGAGAAAGGAGAAGAAGATAAAATTTTCCAAAAAAAAAGTGCAGAGAGAAAGGAGAAGAAGAAGCCCCATCAAATCAAAGAAGAATTCATACTCAAGCGAAGAAGAAGCCCCTACAACCTTGAAGAATAGTTCAAAATCTAAGATTTGAGAGCAAGAGAAAAACGGAGAAGTGAATAACTCTGTATAACATATAAATTATACAATAAACGATAAAGCAAACCTTACCTTCAATGATTTTACCAACCACCAAACCATGCAACCACAAAAGATCCAAATCCCAGCTTCCCCACTTCGTCATGTCCAGCTAAAGAAAATCAAACCCCCAGCTTCCCACCAAAATAAAATCCAATCTTACAATCCCACTCACATACATAGAGCAAAGGACCATGAACTCAAACCTCTCTTGATCTGGGTTTGGATTGAGTTTTGGGTTCTAAAATTCTTGATCTGGGTTGTTTTTTAATCGGTGTTTTGAGGCGATGGAGAAGAGAAGAGGAGAGAGAGAGAGAGAAAGAGATGGGGTGGGTACGGTGATGGGTTTGTTTGTTTTTAATTTTAATTTTGTATATATATTTTTATATTTTATTAATATAACAATATTTTTTAGATTAAATTTTTTGATTAAATTTTTTGATAAAAAAGTGTAAATTAAAAAAAGAAAAAAATTTATGTCGTAAAGTTGGTTTTTTTTTTTTTAAGTAGAAAAAGAATGAAGAAAAAAATAAATAGTTTCATCTTCATGTCTTTTTTTGTCATTATGCACACTAAAAGCACTTCTGATAAAAATTTACCAAACACTTTGACTACTCACAGCAATTTTTCGTATACAGTTTACCAAACGCCTAACTGTTTTTTTTCACAGCTGATTATTATCGCAGCACAGCAGAAGCAGTTTTTTTTAAAAGCACAGCAATGCCAAACTAGCCCTTAATCTCATTTAAGTTAGTCCCCTCTTACCAGTACGTGTTCGAAATTGGAGATGACACAGAGACTGTTTTGACGCAACCAATGCACCTGTGGCAGCTGATCAGGTGAAAATTTTATGGAAAGTTGGCGTAGAACTTGATTTTCGTAAAGCAAAAGTCCAATTTTATGGAAAGTTGGCGTAGAACTTGATTTTATTAAACAAGTTTCAAATTCAAAGTGAAAATGTTGATTAGCAATCAATTGGCTAGACCCTTTACGCGTGTCGTCATCAAAGTGCATACGACCGGAGCCGGGTCAAGCTCAAGCTTCATTGCAATTTGCAAGTAACAAATATTTTGATCATTCAGAGTCAAATGTTAAAAAGTCCAGCAATCCACGCATCATAGATCAACACTAGGAGACAAACAACACACAAAAACGAAATCATATCTACTCTTATCGTAACCTGCACAAGTTAAATATGCAGCCATTTAGCTTTCCCTTCCCAATTTCCACTCATCCAAAGAAAATTCTGACGCATGTTTTTCATCGCATAAATTAGTTAGTAACTGTTCTGTTTGGCCAAGAATTTTCTTTGTTGAAGTTGCTATATAGGCTGCCCTCTGGTTCCTTAAACTTTCTGTGCTCATCAAATTGTTTGGCGATGGCTTTATCTCTTCTTCTTCACTTGCTTGGCCTTTTCCTTGTAGTTGAACCACTTTCTGTAGCAGCTCAAACTGCAAATATTAGCTTGGGGTCGTCCCTCACTGCATCCCAGGGCTCATCTACATGGCAATCGCCTTCTGGGACATTTGCCTTCGGATTTCGCCGCATTGCTGATCAAGATCTCTTCTTGCTTGCCATATGGTATGATAAAATACCAGATAAAACTATAGTTTGGTATGCAAATGGAGACAATCCAGCACCAAAAGGATCCAAACTTGAGCTCACCACTGATGGCCAACTCACACTCACTGGCCCTCGAAGCCAAGAAATATGGAAGCCTGAGTCTGTTCTTAGTGGAAGGGTTGCCTATGCTGCCATGCTCGACACCGGTAACTTTGTGCTTGCAAACAACAATGCTGACTACTTATGGCAGAGCTTCAAAGATCTCAAAGACACCGTTTTGCCAACCCAAGTGCTGGAAATTGGCGAAAAGCTGAATTCTAGACAAACAGCAAACAGCTACTCACAGGGGAGGTTTCAACTCCAACTTAAATCAGATGGGAGGCTTGTGCTATATCCTATCGCCTTGCCTACAGAGTTTGCCTACCAGCCCTACTACCAAAGCAATACTTCTGATGCTGTTGATGAAATGAATTCTGGTTATCAGCTAAGCTTTAATGAGTCAGGTTACCTCAATGTTGTCAGGAGGAATGGAAATATAGACAAGCTCATAAACAAAACACTATTACCAATAAGAGATTACTACTACAGAGCAACACTCGATTCGGATGGTTTTTTCACCCAATACGCTCACCCAAAGTCCCCCAAAAACGGGAGCTGGACATCCTGGTTGCCTGTCTGGTCCATCCCAGAAAACATTTGTTTTGAAGCAAATGGTGATTTGGGCAGTGGACCATGTGGCTACAATAGCTTCTGCAGACTCGACGCGAACAGAAGGCCAATTTGTGAATGCCTTCCTGGCTTTTCTTCTTTAGATCCAAATAACAAGTTGAGTGGATGTAAACAAAACAGAATACAAAGTTGTGACGAGCAAGGAAATTCAAAGCCAGAGGATTTGTATGTTATGCATGAGCTATCTAATACTTTTTGGCCAACTTCTTCAAACTTTGAGCAATTGCAGCCAATGAATGAAGATGACTGCAGCAGATCTTGCCTCTATGATTGTTATTGTATGGTGGCTGTTATCAAAGAGGGGAGCTGCTGGAAGAAGAAACTGCCACTCTCACATGGAAGGCAGGACTGGAATTCCTACGGGAAGGCTCTGATCAAATTACCAAAATCTGATGCTTCTTTAGATGATCCACTTTCTCCACAATCAAACACAGGAAGAAAAGATCGGAAAACTCTCATCTTAGCAGGAGCACTTCTTCTAGGTAGCTCTGTGTTTCTTAACTTCTTTTTTGTTGCAGCAATTTCTTTGGTTTTCTTATACACATACCAGAAAAGACATAATGTTACTACTAGCACATCAAGTATTATGGAAGCAAATCTACGTTCTTTTAGGTATAAAGACCTCGAAGAAGCCACAGATGGGTTTAGGGAAGAACTTGGAAGAGGTGCTTTTGGCACTGTGTATAAAGGAATCATATCATCCCTCAGTTCAACAAACTATGTGGCAATCAAGAAGTTGGACAAGGTGGCACAAGAAGGCGAGAAGGAGTTTAAAGCAGAGGTGAGTGCAATAGCCAGGACCCATCACAAGAACTTGGTCAGATTGCTAGGGTTCTGTGATGAAGGGGCAAACAAACTTTTGGTCTATGAGTTTATGAACAATGGAACACTGGCTAGCTTTCTCTTTGGGATTTCAAGGCCCGACTGGAACAAAAGAATACAAATTGCATTCGGTATTGCAAGAGGGATCATGTACCTGCATGAGGAGTGTAGCACACAGATCATCCACTGTGATATCAAACCCCACAACATACTTCTAGATGATTCATTCACAGCAAGGATTTCGGACTTCGGATTGGCAAAGCTTCTGCTAAGCGATCAAACTCTGACGCATGCCGTCATTAGAGGGACCAGAGGATATGTTGCACCAGAATGGTTCAGGAATGTTCCAATTACTGCAAAGGTTGATGTTTATAGTTATGGGGTGATGTTATTGGAGATTATCTGTTGCAGGAGAAGCCTTGAAATGGAAAGGGAAAATGAAGAAGAAGTGATACTAACTGATTGGGTTTATGACTGCTATAAGGAAAAAACATTAAACAAGCTGATAGAGGATGATGAGGAGGCAAGAAATGACATGAAAAGGCTGGAGAGGCTAGTCAAGGTGGCAATTTGGTGCATACAAGAGGATCCATCTTTAAGACCCACCATGAAGAAGGTTACACAGATGCTTGAAGGAGTGGTTGATGTATCTCTGCCTCCATGTCCTTCTCCTTTTAGTTCAATTTGCTGAAGCCTACCCATGCTATAGATCTTTGAAATGCCATAGCTGTTTTCTTTTCACTAAAGAAAGTATAGGTCTTTATAATTCATGCTAATGCTGTGTCACTTATGAGAAATGATGTGGCCACTGTAATCATTCCTAGCCAAAGCAATGGGTAGTTACTTATTCAGACTTCATACTCCTAACTAAGGATTATCTGGGTTTATGGACAAGGAAGATGCCCTTCAAGCTATGTAACTTTCATAGTCATGAAGTTGCAATTCCAACTTTCAGTTCAAATGTAGCTTTTCTTATATTTATTTTAATGGTAATCAAGCAATTGAGCACTGTCGACTAGGGATGGCAATGCCGCGATTTGGAGATGAGTATGTATGCCATTCCAATCACCATCTCCGTTAAGTTTTTTTTTTTTCCATCCTCATCTTCATACGTAATATTTAAATTGGGAATTCCCCATCTTCGCCTTCGTTGGGAAACAGGTTTCCCTATTACAAAAATGAGAAATTATAATGGTAACGTATCACGTCAACTGGTGATACTTCCTTTCAAAATATGCCACATATCATTTTTATTTTTATCTTTAAAATAAAATTGAGAAAATAAGAACATCCAAAAGACAGAAGAACCACCGTCCACCCCAACCCCGGCTCCCTTGGCTGACGCGCCCTCCTTATCTTTTTCTTCCTCCGTCCATCTCTCTACAAAAACACCAATAACAATAATAATTTTGAATGAGAAAAAAATAAGTAATAAACTATTATACTAGGGTAAAAAAAACAATAGAAAAGTTTTGTTTTGGACTTACACATTTTATGTATTATTTCATTCAATATATATTATGGTGGGAGTTGTGAGACACGCGGAGAAGCCACTTAACAATATATTCATATGAAAAATAAATAATATACATATTGTATTCTAAATGATGCAATTTGGGGTTGGAGTTGGCCCTGCCCCGAACGCTTTACCTGAAAATTTCCCACTCCTCAAACCTAATTTATATCCTTCATATACAACCCTTTGGGATCGAAGTCCAGCAAAAATCCTAACTCATGGGAAGAATTGTCATTCCTACTGTTAACCATGCCCGAGGAAAAAAAACCTATTTATAAGACCATCTTTAATGGGGGAAAACCTTAAAGATGTTTACTAAACAGCTAGTAATGGTATTGAGTCCTTAAGACTCAAAATTTGAGTCCAACAAGCTTTATTATTTATAAACCTTTGTAATTTATTTTTGCGACTTTTTTAACCTAAAACAATTGAAATTTCGAAACATAATTTTATTTCACTAAAAATAAAAACGAGTAGAACAAGTTAAATAAAACGCGTACAACAACCTTGGAAATGAAAATAATTAACGAAATAATTGGCAAAAAAAAAGATAACAATATTAACGAAACACAAAACACCCGGTAAGTGCATAGCAGTCTTTGTTAATTTACTTGAGAAAAGAAAATTATTGACGGAAAAAAAAAATTTTACGAGAAACCCAAAAATCTTCCTAAAAAAAAAAAGGCAAGAGAGGAGGAGGTAGTG